AGATATTTGCACCAGGTTAATCTTGGCTGTAACCTGGGTCTTCTGGTCGGCTCGATAAATAGTAGTTATTTCGTTTTCCTTTTTGGAGGCATTTGCAGTACATGTTGATTCCATGGCAGTTGCGACTTCTAAATCTGAAGAACCACCTGGTATGCACCAAGGTTTTCGCAAATGTCTGTATTCCGGATCATGTGAAGACGCGTAAGGCTAGTGACTCGTCTCACGAAGCCCAATTCAGCCGTTCTACCCGGGATCGAAGATTTTCATTCATCGTATAAGGCTCATGACCGCAGGTAAGCATGGGGATAAAGATCGACTTCAACATCGAAAGCTAATTCTTCTGATTCAGCCCTGCTTTAGTCACAGTGGTTCAGACAAGTTCACGCGGAATGCCACTGGTTACTCCAATCCGCCGGTCGAACTCTTCCTCAGATTTTCGATATCCAGGAACCTCGTCTCGGAAGTACTTTGACTTCTTCACCTACTCCACTGATCCTCCGTTTATCTGAAGCGAGCAGGAGAATGACAAAAAAAGGAAGTTCTAGGCATTACGCTTTAGGTGCGTTCACACGCATGCCACGTCTCTCATTCTGCAGATCAGTTTCAGAAGATACCAGCAAAACTAGGTGTCTGCAAACAGCAACCTTCTCATTTCCACATCTCATCGCCCTGATTTTGCCTGACTATTCCATCCATGTGCAATACAAACAGGAGAGGGGGCAAACCGCAACCTAGTCGCAGACCAGTGCCGACGATTTCAGGTGTTGACTTAACGCCATTTACTCTGATGCATCACCTGCTTTCAGCATACAGTGATTGTAAAGCCCGTAGCAACTAGTCGTCGTTCCCGTATGTTCGCAGGCACGCTCATAAATTCTGGCGAGCGATCCTGTCATATGCTTTCTATAGGCCACAAAACATATAAACCGCATGAACGAATTTCTCAACAATCTGGCTTAGGGCGAATATCTGGTCAGATGTGCTTCCGCCGAGGCGGAAGCCACACTGTCCTTATTGAATCTCGAACTCAGTTATTGCACGGCATCTCCATTCTAGCACCTGAGAGGCTTTACCTGGGAGGCTCAATAACATAATTGGAGCATTCCTTGTGGTCTCCCTTCCGGAACATGGGTAAAATAACTCCCGTTCTCCAGTCCGCTGGTGTCTTTCTCCCAGTCATTGCAGTTTGACAGACACCTGTAAGTCAGCACATGCCTTGATCGCCTAATGCCTTGAGCACATCAGAGCGGATTTCTTCAATTCCAGCAGCCTTTCATTTCTTCAAGCTTTTCACAGCTTGTATAATTTCATCTACTGAGATAGTAGTATCTGTTCGCTGCTGCTCTACAGGCAAGTCTTCCTGCTGTTGCGCGGAGTTAAGGAGTTCCTCAAAGTATTCTCTCCATCGCCTAAGAATGTCATTATCCTTGGTAAGAAGGTGTCCAGATCTATCCTTCAAGACTCTGAGACTGCGCGTCTTTTCACCTCGGAGCCGGCGGATGATCTGCCAGAATAATTTGTTTGCCATGTGGAAATTCGACTCCAACACCTCACCGAATTTCTCCCAGGAGGTTTTGCCACTGCTATAGCTGCCGCCTTGCGTGCCTCGACATATCGCACGCGAGTAGAAGGCTCCTTGTTTCCAAGCCATTTCTTGA